TAGTAGAATCCAATCACTAAAGACAGCTTCCAAACCATGCACACAGGCACCTCAGCCTTAAGCTCCATGGCTTGAGGCCAGTGTCACAAATTGCTCTGCTCATTATGGCTCCCCCACCCACCCCAGTCTCCCAACAAACTAAGGCGAAGGCTCGTAGCTCTGGTTCCGCGGGGTAGCAGCCCCAGGTCAGCTCTGTCTTGTGTCAAATCTCTGTTTCTCTGCTGCAACAGCTGCTGCTATCCTGGGGAGCTGGCTGGTGCAAGAATCTCCGGCCCCAAAGGCTGTGCTGCATTCTGTTGCTTCTTCTTTGCTGGTGGTGAGATTCTCAAACTCTGCTGCTGGATCCACTTGGTTAAGTGATGAGACTGGCCAGTCTCATTGTGGACAGGCTAACACACTCTATTCACAGATTCTCACCCATCCACATGGCAAAGTCAAAGTCAATGGCTAGGAAAAGCCATTTTGAACAAAAACCCTTAACACCACAATGAGTGAGGAGACAAGTGGGTTGATGGATGGATGGATGGGTGGGTGGATGGATGGATGGATGGATGGATGGGTGGAATGACAGGTGGACAGAGGATAGTTGAATGGGATGTGTGGACAGAAGGATGGGTGAATGAAATGAATAATGGGTGGATGGAAGGATGGGTGGACAGAAAGATGTGTGGATGAACTGATGGGTGGATGGGTGAAGAGATGGAAGAATGAATGAGTGGACAGAAGGATGGGTGGATGGAAGGGTTCATGGATGGATAACTGGATGGAAGGGTGGGTGGACAGAAGGATGGGTGGATGGGATGCTGGGTGGACGGAAGGATGTTTGGATGGAAGGATGGGTAGATGCATAGATGCAGCCCAGCACTCAGATGCAGGTCTCAGGTACACCTGGGAGGGGTTGTGATGTGCTGTGAAGTCAGTGACTCATAGTGACCCTATGAACAGCGGCTCTGAACCCTGCGCTATCCTGAGCCAGCTTCATCAGCTCTGACAAACGGTCCCTGAGTCAATCCATCTCATCCGGGGTCTTCCTCTCTTGTGCTGACCTTCTGTCCTTCCAAGTATGACGTCCTTCTCCAAGGATTGGTCCCGCCTGGCAGCATGCCCAAAGTATGTGAGATAGAGTTTCAAAATCTTAGCCTCCAAGGAGCAACCTGGTTTCACCCTCTCTGAGACAAACCTGTTTGTTCCCTTGGCTGTCCGTGGGATGTTCAAGACTCTTCTCCTGCACCACAGTTCAAAGGCATTGCTTCTTCTTCCATCATCTTTATTCACTGTACCATTGTCAGATGCATAGCAAGTAATTGAGAAGTCCATGGCTTGGATCAGGTGCGCCTTAGTCTTTAGACTGGCATTATTGCTCTTTAGCACTCGGGAGAGGTCCTGACAGCAGGTTTACCCAATGCAGTTCATCTGATTTCCTGGCTGCTGGTCCCAAGGGTGTTGATTATGAATCTGATCAAGATGGGATCTTTAACAGCTTCAGCCTGGGCAGGCAACGCGTGTCGTATGACTGTTAAGCAGGGTTGGGCTACCAGTACTGCCCCCTTCTTCCTGACTGTAAGTGCAGCCCAGACACTGAGAGGGTAGGAGCTCAGGAAAGGAACTGTGGACAGACTTGTTCCACAGAGACTCGGGGCTGTGTGGGTTCCATCCTCCATCTGTGAAGTGGTCTGGTGACGTGACAGGGATTAGGAAGGGTGTGGGGGACATGGACAGCCCAAAACCCTGATTCCCTCACTCTGATACCCTTCACACATGGGGTGCAGGAGAGACTGGAGGCTGCAAACCGAAGGACCCAGGCCCGCAGACTGCCTAGGCCACCATTCCTGCTCCAGAAGCCTGTCCCACCCACCTGGCCTGGATCAGCAGGAAAGCCTTGGGGGCCTGAAACCACCGCCCTGGAAGGCTGGCCATGGAGAAAGTGGGCCCTTGTCCTGGGCCTGGCAAGAAGCCATGGGCCCGCCCTAAAGGCAGCCAGTGGTGGCCAGGTCTGGAGAAGCTCTTGGTCAGTCTCAGCCTTCCTTGCAGGGAGTGGAGGGAACTTGGGGTCCCACCCTGCCAGTACCCCACAAGCCACAGGCATGGTTTGCTCCAGGAGCTGTGAGCTCTGCGTCTGAGCTGAGGGAGGAGTGGGTGGCTGGAGACTGGCCTATGGGCAGATGCCAGGTACTCAGGGTCACTCTGCTGGTCTCTACCCTCCCTACTTGGGCCAGACTGCAAGAGGGAGAGACGGGGAGCCTCAGCCCCATCTGGGAAAGGAGGAACACTCTCAGCACCTGGGCCAGCTGGAGCAGCACAGCACAGCCCCGTAAGTGGCCAGCCAGATACAGGGGGATGGGGCCGGGGCGGTGGGCAGCAAGGCCTGGAGCATGGGGGCCAGCAGGGGATGTGGTGGTCTAGGACGAAGGGAAACTCAGGGAGGAGCCCTGGGGGCACTGTGGATAAAGCTCTCAGCCACTAACCATCAGGCCAGCAGTTCAAAGCCCAGCCGCTCAGGGAGAAGAATGGAGCGCTCAGCTTCCCCAGAGACGTTTGGCCTTGGAAGCCCTATGGGGTGGACGGACAGTTCCCTGCTCCGCAGGTCACTCTGGCTTGGAATCGACTTGATGGTAGCTGTTTTGTCTTTGTTCAGTGATGTGTGGAGGAGACCAGGTGCTGCAATAGTTAAACTCTCTGCTACTAAACTGAAGGTCATCTGGCCGAGCCCACCAGCCGCTCCCCACAAGACGAGGCAGTAGCTTCCGTGAAGGTTTACAGCCATGGCAGCCCTGAGGGGCCGTTCTGTTCTGTCAGGGTCACACCAGGCTCGCCTTGATGATGGTGGGGCCCAGTGAACTCAGGTGCACCTTGGCCTAAATGCACTTGCATCTTCTCTCCTTGTTAAATGGTAAAGACATTGGTGTCTGTTGGGGAGACTCGGGGTGATTTCCAGCCTGTATGCTCATGCGCACCACTGCCCTCTGTTGGGGAGGCTGTGAAGGTCTCAGCAGGGCGACTGAGAGACTAGGAAGAAAGGCCCGGTGATCTTGAAGTCCACCAGTAAGAGGGCTGGCCTGAGCCATCCTGGGCCCAACGTTTACTATGGTGTGGGCTATCCATGTGTGCGCCATCTGGTGACAAGTCAAAGAAAGTGCAGAAGTCTTATTATTATTAATTTTTTATTAAGGATAATGAAAGTTTGCAGAGGCTTTGGATTTCCATTCATTCATTGTTACACTTTTCTTCCTACCCACCCCTCCCCCCCAATTTGTTCTTCTCTTTGAAAAGTAAAAGAAAAAGTCTTTCATTGTTATGCAATCCCTCCCCCCAAGTCCACTTCACTATGCAGACTTCACTCTGGACTCCTGTCATGACAATAATACCTAATCACATGTCCCTTTTAAACCGTTCTCCCCCTCATCTGTTTCAATGCTTGTTGTTGTTATGTGCCGTCGAGTCGCTTGCAACTCATAGCGACCCTGTGTACAACAGCCCTAAACTCTGTTCTGTCCTGTGCCAATCTCATTGTCTCCGACACACTAATCCTAATTACCCCAGTCACTGAATCAATCCACCTCATAGAGGGCCTTCCCCTCCTGCGCCTGCCCTCCACCCTCCCAAGTATGATGTCTTTCTCCAAGGACCTGTCTCTCCTTACAACAAGACCAAAGTATATCAGACGAAGCCTCAGAATCCTTGCCTCCAAAGAGCAGCCTCTCCAGGATGAATGTTTGTTTTCCTAGCAGTCCATGGTACCCTCAATACTCTTCTCCAACACCACAGCTCAAAGGCATCAATTCTCCTTTTATCCTCCTTGGTCATTGTCCAACTCTGTCACATAACAAGTGATAGCAAAGACCATAGCCTGTACCTATGCAGTATACATTATTTATCCCCTTTTTCTCAATCTCCCCTCAACCTTGATATCAGTGGCACTATACAATATTTATCCTTTTGTGACTGAGATATTTCACTCAGCATAATGTCCTCCAGGGTTACCCATTTTGAATATTTCATGAGTTGTTTGTTTTTCAATGCAGTATAGTATTCCATTGTGTGAATATACCTCAGCTTCTCTATCCATTCATTTGTTGATAGGCACTTAGGTTGTTTCCATCGCTTTGCTATTGTGAACAAAGCCGCGATAAACATGGGTGTGCATATATCTGCTTGGGTGGTGGTTATGATTTCTTTAGGGTATATTCCCAGTAGTGGAATTGCTGGGTCAAATGATATCTCTATTTGCAATTTTTTGAGAAAGCTCCACACAGCCTTTCATAGTGGTTGCACCATTTTACACTTCCACCAACAGTGAATAAGGGTTCCAGTTTCTCCACAACCTCACCAGCATTTGATGTTTGCTGTTTGCTGTTCTGTTGAATTTTGCTATTTTTACTACTTGTTTCTTACTCGTTGTTTTGAAAGTACAGAAGTCTTAGCTGACTTGAGGGCCTCAGAGAGCAATGCAGCCCTTTGCTGAGGGGAGGGGGTGGGACCCCTGTGCCCTACATCCTTTCAGAGCCCCTCTCCCAACTGTAATGGTGGTCCCCCGCTTTCACTGGGAAGTTCATAGCCCAGTGGGGTCAGTGGCCACCTCAGTCCACTCAGCAGTGACCAGAGCAGGCCCAGTTCTGAGCTGGGCTTGAGGGCAGGGCCTGTCAGTGAAAGGCACCTGCCTGCTGTGCTGCAGGGGGGCACTCTTAGGGGGGTCTGGCTCCTGCCTAGGGCTCTCCCATGACTGACCTGGCCAGCCTTGGGTAAGCCAGGCATCAGGCAGAACCTGAGTGACCCCCAGCCCACCCTCCACCCCTCAGCCCTACTACTGAGACATTTGGAGTGTAAGGTGGGTTCCTGAGCACCAGCCCCGGTGTTTCTGCCCCTCCCTGGGTGTCCTCAGGGAGGGGCAGCCAGGACCCCCAGGGGGAGAACTCCACGAATCCTGTGGCCAGGGTCCAAGCCGGGCTCCAGGGTGTGACCATGTGCTTCCCTCACTCCAGAAGCCCCCGAGCGCCCACGCCATGAAGGAGGAGGCCTTCCTCAGGCGCCGCTTCTCGCTCTGCCCGCCCTCCTCCACCCCCCAGAAAGTCGACCCGCGGAAGCTCACCCGGAACCTGCTCGTTGGGGGAGAAAATGAGCTCTACACCCTTGGCCCAGGTCAGTGTCACGTTCTGGGGGTGGGGTGCTGGCTACACCAGGGAGGGGCATCCAGCACGCTGGAGGGGCCTGGACATATCCAGAGGGAGGTGCTGGCCACACCAGGGAGAAGGATGCCAGCCATGTTGGGGAGGGGCGTCCAGACGCTAGAGGGGCCTGGACACATCCAGAGGGGGCTGCTGGCCACACCAGGGAGGGAAGTCCTGGTGCATTCATCGGGGAGGGTCCTGACTGCATTGGGGAAGAGGTCCCTGCCATGTCCAGGAGGGTCCTGACTGTGTTCGAGAGGGGCCCTTGACTGTGATGGGGAGGCAGCCCTGGGCTGTTGAGGAAGGATTCCTGGCCATGTTGGAGAGAAGTTCCTAGCTATGCTGAGAAGGGGTCCCTGGACACCATGTGGTCACTGGGCCAAGGCTCCCATCTGTGCTGTGTGACCCTGTTACCCTCTCTGTGCCGCTTCTGACCAGGGAGGTTGGCTGAGAGCCTTGACCACTCCCCTCTGGCAGTACCATGTGGGTGTGACGAGCAGAGGGGTTTGCAAAGCCAGAAAGCGTCAGGCCAGCTGGCCCCTTGGCACCCCCTTGGGTCCTGGGGAGCCCTGTCGACTGTTAGGCTGAGGAGGGGCCACCTGGGTGAGCTTATCCGCTAGACTCCGTGGGAAGCAGGGTTCTGGAGCCAGGCTCTGAGGACTAGTCTGAGTCCCAGGCTGACTCTCCAGGGACTGGGACAGCTCCTGTGTCTCTGGGCCTCAGATTCCTCCTCTGTAGAACGGGCTAGTGCTATCACTGTCCCCCAAAGGGCATGAGGGTTGGGACAGGGCAGGGCTAGCTCTCGGCCTGGAGGCAGCTCTCAGGAGGAGGCTGGGCTCTCTGGGTGGAGGGGACGGTGACGAAGTGGGTGGGCATAACAGATGCCACAGTCCTCCAGCCACGAGGCAGCCCCGTATCAGGCCAAGTCTGTGAGAGCACTGGAGAACCCCGGAATAAGAGAACCTTGAAAATGGAGTCTTGGTGGCACGGTACATAAGCATCGGGCTCTGAACTGATTAAGTCAGCAGTTGAAACTCACCAGCGTCTGAGGGAGAAGGAGAAGGACGAGGCTGTTCCCACAGAGACTTTCGGCCTCAGGAATTTTCTCTGCTCTGCAGAGTCACTGCAAGTTGAAACTGACCCAGCAGCAGGGACTTGTTTGTGGGTCTTTCCCGTTAGGATGACCTTGGGTTTCCCAGGGCAGAATCCTTCTAGCTCCCCACACCCACCATTCCCCTTGGCGTTCCCAGGAGGTGGGTCAGCAGAGCCCCATCACTCCAGTGGCTCCACAGTGCCTGTATCCCCCCGCCCCTCCTGCCTGACCAGTGGTGTGCAGTGGTGGCCTGTGGCTTTGCAAGATAAATGTCACCCCCTGGCCAGCTCCAGGGACCAGGGGCGGGTCATCAGCCACCAAGCCATAGGAAGCAGCTCCCTCTTTCCTGCTGCCCACACCTGGCCACTAAGAGGAGCTGGAAACAGGCTCTGGAAACTGGCTTCTGAACCAACAAAACCAGGCTGGGTGGAATGCCTGCCTGCTCGGCCCAGGCCCTCTGCTGGCCTGAGAGAGAAGACAGGTCCTAAAAGAGTGGGGGCGGGACATCTGACCACCGGAGGCTGTGTGACCGCGCCAGGTGGCTGGTTGGATAAAAGGTAGTCTGTGTGCCGTAGCCTGAATCAGAGGGGAGCCCGGGAGGCTGGGCCACATCCTGCGTCTGAAAACTTCAGTCACTCTAGTGGCTCCAGAGGACACATCACGCGGGCACACGGACTGGAGCACCTGTCAGTCGGGGGCCAGGCTGGAGCTCTGGGGTCCCGTCCAGTGCTGACATGGTCTGAGCCCAGTGACCTCTCTCCTTGAGCCGCTACTCCCACGTTGGGCTGGCTTCCTGCCCCTCCCAGGTTGTCCTATGTCCCCTGTCCTGTGCCTCACCCTTGCCTCTCCAATTCAGGGAAGGACATGGAGCCCAATGGACTGGTACTGCCGAGGGACGAAGGACCACCAACGCCAGGCTCTGCCACCAAGGTGCCACCGGTAAGCACCCACCAGGAGGAGGAGGGCCCAGGGCCCTGGCACAGGGGGCAGCAGGAAATGACCAGAGGACCGTTCCAGGAAGAGCCCAGCCCAGTCCCAGCTGCCTCCAGAGCAGGGGCCACAAGGGGCAGGACTGGACTGAACACAGCCCTGTTCAGTGTGAGGTGGGGTCAGGAGAGGGGAAGTGGGTGTACACCTGCCAGTTCTGAGGACCTCCCTGAAGAAAGACACTTCCTCCCTGGCACTGTACCCCACCAGAAACACTGAAGAAGTGGGCACTCGTGCAGACGTGCACACACACACACACACACACACACACACTCACACACACGTTCTACCCACTGCGTGCCGGGCCCCCTGCCCTGTGTGACCACAAGCCTTGCTCCTCTGGGGCAGCATTTCCTCACTGGTCAGCGGTGGCCCTGAGCCCTGTGCCTGTGTCCCCAGGGAGAGGGTCCTGGCAGCCCCTGGCTTGGTGCCTTCAGAGCCTGGGAGCCCCTGTATGACGGTGGTCCCCGTACACCGTTGTCACCCTGTTCTTCAGGGTGCGGAATGGCTTCACAAAATCTTTAATCACATGGCTGTGTCTTTCCACAACCCAACAGAACACAGATGCCGTCAGATGCCCCACTGGGTTCTCACATCAAACTCTGTTCAGTAATTGCTTTCTGGAACTTTCTGTGTGCCAGGTGTTGAGCTGCTGGTGGTGTGGGGAGGCAGAGACAGATAAAGGGAGGCTCTGCCCTCAGGGAGCATGTGTGCCCCTTAGGGAATGGCAGGTGCTTCAGGTCTTCCCTTTCAGGAAGGAAGGCGTTACTGAGCAGAAGTGGACCTCTGTGATGACAGCCTGGGGGCCATGGGGACGAGTCTGCTGTCCTAGGAAGGGTCTCTGTGAGCAGGAACTCGGTGACTGTCTTATTCATCCAATGTTGCTGTGACAGGGACCGCACAGGGGGTGTCTGGTTCTCTGGTGCTGCTGTGACGGGGACCCCATAGGGGTGTGTGTCTAGTTCTTTGGTGTTGCTGTGACGGGGACCCCACGGGGTGTGTCTGGTTCGCTGGAGCTGCTGTGACGGGGACCCCACAGGGGTGTGTGTCTGGTTCTTTGGTGTTGCTGTGACGGGGACCCCACGGGGTGTGTCTGGTTCTCTGGTGTTACTGTGACAGGGACCCCACACAGGGCATGTCTGGTTCTCTGGAGCTGCTGTGACGGGGACCCCACAGGGGTGTGTGTCTGGTTCTCTGGTGCTGTTCTAACACAGTGCTGTAAGTCAGAGTGACTTTGTTGTCTAGTGCTGCTGTAACTGTGGTTTTAACAAACAGAAAATCTGTCCTCTCACCATCAGGAGACGAGTGTACATTGAAGGCGCGGGGTCAGGAGCGGCCTCCTCTCTCTGCCGGCCCTGGAGGACAAGCTTGTCTCTTCAACTCTGAAGGCTTGTTCCCGTGGTGAACTCTGAGTGCCTTGGCCTGGCCCTGTGTCCAGGAGCTTCCCAGTACAGGGACCTGGTCTGCGGGACACTCCCCTCCCAGCCCTTCTGTCTTGGGAGTGCTGAGGTCCCTCTACTCTGCCCCTTCTCTCTCCTTCATCCCTCCAGAAGGCAAAAAGGGTGCAGGTCATTCCTCAGGGAAGCTGCTCTCCCAGAGGATCGGGCTGTGATGGGATTTAGGGGTCACCTCCCACCTTCCATCCTCTCACAGCTGATCGGTTTATCATGGGGGTCATCGTCATGACCACCATCTGTGCACGGACTTGGGACGCGATGGCAGTGGGTTTGGTAATTCTGCCTTTCTATTTTTTGGCATCAGCCAAGCTGTGTCCTGTACCTGTGCCTGCTACATACGGGCCGCAGTCCACGAGGCTCCCACACCACCCGCTTCCCCTGACCCTTGTCATTTTCTCATTCATAGATTATAGCTGCCCGTGGGTGTAAGGTGGCGTGCCATTGCGGTTTGGACTTGAGTTTCCGCAGAGGCACAGTGAGCCATGGGGTGGGAGGAGAGTTCTGACTATCCCACTGCCAGAAAGAACCAACAGGTCTGTCTTGGAGGAAGTTTGTCCAGCGTGTCCCTCAGAGCAAGGGTGGGGAAACCCCGTCGCACATACTTTGTCAGGAGAGGTCAGTCCTTGGAAGAAGACCTCATGCTGGAGAAGGTGGAGGTCAGGGAGAGAGGAAACCCCACAGCCAGGTGGGCTGACACAGCGCCTGTAACTGTGGGCTGGGGCGTGTCAGAGACAGTGAGGGTGGGGCTGGGGGGGAGGGGGATGGGAGGGGGAGGGCAGAATGGGGTGGGGCTGGGGGGGGGGGAAGAGCAGAGGGGGTGGGGATGGGGCGGGGCGGGGGTTGTTCAGGTCTGTGGACATGGTCACTGTGCGTAGCTGACACGGGGACGATTTGCCGCAGCAGCATGACAGATCTCTGCATCCTGTGCTGCTCAGCAAAATGTCAGCAGGTCAGACCCACCAGCCTCTCCCTGGGAAGAAGCTGGACGGTCCCCTCTCATAAGGAGGTTGATGGCGGGGCAGCGAGAGTCAGAAGGATGCAGTGGTGTTGGGAATGGCAGGTGATGTTGACCGTCTTTTCACGAGCTGGCTGGACGCTTCAGGTCGACTTTGCAGAGATGGTGGCCCGTGTGGGCGTTGACGTGTTTGTCTTTATGGAGCTGCAGGAGTTCCTTGATCATTCTGGATGCGAGCCCCTTACCCAGGAGCTCTCATGGCTTAGTGGTAAGGAATTGTGCTGCCAACCCAAAGGCAGGCAGTTCGAATCCATCAGCTGCTCCCTGGGAGAAAGATAGGCAGTCTCCTGCCTGCGATGAATGCCCTGGTTTGGCCTTCTTTGCTCAGAAAAAGAAGCGAGCCAGGTGGGAGAGAGCGGAAGATCGGCCGTGGACCAGTCTCCTAGTTTGGGCCTGGGTTCGTACGTCCTGCTCGAAAGCAGTCCAGCCTGTACTGAGCCCTGGTTAGAACAGGGGTTGAGAGGAGGCGTGGCAACAGCAGAGAGGTTTGTCAGGAAAGATGCCCCGCATAGATGGGAAAGGTCAGCCCTGGAGGTGAAGAGGCAGAGGAGACCCGGGACCCCACGGGTGTGGGTGTAGAGATGCGCTGATAGAACTGGGTCTGCATCTAGATTAGCTTCTGTGCCCCAGCCTGGACCTGGGGACTGACCTGGTGGTTCTGGTCCCTTTTTCTTGACTTCACGCCTGTGTCTAAAACACCCCTGACGGGATTCACGTTCCGTGGTTCTGATTGGGTTGGGCCTGGTCCCAGCCATCTGTTTGACTAACATAGGTTCTGCCTCTTTTTGTGAGACTTCTCTAACTTTGCTCCTAACAGAATTTTTTTAAATTCTGTTTATTTTATACTGGTTCGCATACAAGATTCGCTCACCTTGTGTTTTGTTCCTATACTTTGTGTTTCATAGTATCATCCCATTGGTTGTTAGGGACGACTCCAGTGACCAATGAACAAAAGACCTGAACCCAGTCCTGTCCTGCGCCATCCTCACACTTCCTGACACACAAGAGCCCATTGCAGCAGTCACCGTGTCAATCCACCTGGTCGAGGGTCTTCCTCTCCTCTGCCAACCCTCCATCCTTCCCAGCATCATGTCCCTCTCCAAAAAATAACCCCTCCTAGCAACATGCCCAAAGTATGAGACGTGAAGACGCCTCATCATCCTTGCCTCCAAAGAGCAATCCGACTGCACCCTCTCCAAGACATATCTATTCATTCTGTTGGCCGTCCACGGGATGTTCAGTGCTCTTCTCCAACACCACAGCTCAAAGATGTCAATTCTTTTTCTCTCATCTTTATTCTTTGTCCAGTTCTCAGATGCATATCAAGTAATCAAAAAGACCATGGTCTGAATCAGATGCACCTTAGCCCTCAAACTGACATCATAACTCCTCAGTCATTTGGACAGGTCCCTAACTGCAGATTTCCCCAGTGCAATGTGTCTCCTTATTTCCTGGCTTGTACCAAGGATGCCAATTGTGGGTCCAAGCAAGATGAAACTGTTGACAGTTTCAATCTCCTCTCCATCCATCATGATGCTGCCTATTGGTCCAGTGGTAAGAATCTTTGTCTTCTTGACATTGAGATGCAGTCCACATTGAAGGCTGCAGTCCGTGATCATCTTCAACAAGTGTTTCAAGTCCTCCTCACTTTCAGCAAGCAAGGTTATGTTATCTGCATAACAAATGTTATTGATGAGTCTTCCTCCAATCTTGATGCCATACTTCTTTCTCTTCATACGTTCTCAGATAATTTGCTCATCATACACATTGAATAGGTATGGAGAGAGACTATTACGCTGACATATTCCCTTCTCAATTTTAAACCATGCATCATCTCTCCATACCTATTCAATGTGTATGATGAGCAAATTATCTGAGAACCTATGAAGAGAAAGAAGTATGGCATCAAGATTGGAGGAAGACTTATCAACAGCTTGCCTTATGCAAATCACACAACCTTCTTGTTGAAACTGAAGAGGACCTGAAGCACTTGCTGCAGAAGGCCAAGGACTGCAGCCTTCAATACGGATTGAAGCTCAACAACAAGAAAACAAAAATTCTCACCACTGGGCCAATTGGCAGTATCATGATAGATAAAAATATTGAGATTGTTAAGACCTTCAGCTTCCTTGACTCCACAATCAACACTGTTGGTACCAGTAGCCAGGAAATGAAAAGACAAATTGCATTGGGAAAGTCTGTTGTCAGGGACATCTCCAGAGCACTGAAGAGCAACAGTGTCAGTCTGGAGACTAAGATGTGCCTGATCCAGGCCATAGTCTTCACAATCACTTGCTGTGCCTCAGAGCTGGACAATGGATGATAGAAGGAGAATTGATGCCTTTGAACTGTGGTGCTGGATAAAAGTATTATTGAATATACCATGGACTGCTAAGAGAACAAACAGGTTCATCCTAGAGAGGGTGAGACCGGGCTGCCCCTTGGAGGCAAGGATTCTGAGGCTTCGTCTTACTTTGGACAGGTTACAAGGAGGGACCAGTCCTGGGAGAAGGACATCATGCTTGGGAGGGTGGAGGGACAGAGAAAGAGAGGAAGACCCTTAATGAGACGGGTTGGCTCAGTGACTGAGGTGGTGGAGGTAGGCCTATCAGAGATGATAAAGCTGTCTCAGGATAGAGCAGGGTTCAGAGCAGTTGTATGTAGGGTTGCTCAGTATCGGCTGTGAAAACAAAGCCAGGTGCTAACTGTGGAACAGACCACCAACTACACATATGTAAGGTCAAGCTGTGTGATTAGTTGCCCCTAAAAACTCACTGAAGGTTCAGCTATCAGTCAGTTCCAACTTGACGACAGAGAGCAACAGCATCAGGGACACACTGTGTCGGACAGCCTGCGGGCATGTCGCCAGGTGGGACCAATCCTTGAAGAAGGACATTATGCTTGGAAGGGTGGAGGGGCCGCACAGGAGAGGAGGACTCGGGATAAGATGGATTGACATGACTGTGGCAATGGGGTCAGGTGGGGGAAGGTATTGCATTTCAACTATCAGAGCTGTCTTTGCTCAGGGCCAGCCAAAGGCTGGCAGCAGTGGGGTGTAGCCCTGGTCTGCACATGAACCCCCGTTCTGTGTCCTGCCTTCCCCGACCTGGAGCCTCGGTTTCCTGATTGCCCAAAAGGCCTGGGTCCCACATGGCACTACGATCCCTTGTCCCTGTTCTCAGCCCGTCTGCCCCAGAGCTGGACTCAGACCTCTGCCCAGAGGCAGACCCTGAGAGGGTCGCTTCCAGGGGATCTCGGAAGGGGTCCCAGTTACCCACGTCTCACCTCGGGTCCAGGGCTGGACTCCGGCTGTGGCTGACCCCAGGACCCTGCCCTAGGCTAGACTCCAGCTGTGTGTGGCTGACCCCAGGTCCCTGCTCTGGGCACTATGGAGGACGCAGGGCAGGGAAGCAGGTGCTACTCTGAGGCTCTGAGCTGTCTCAGCCCCTCTACAAGCTCACCCTCCCTGCATTGTTCTAGCCCTGCTGGGTGCACTCCCCACCCACCCCCGCCCTGGGGACCTTCCCTTTGGTACACCCCTTCCCCACCCAGGATCCTCCCTCCTGGGGACCCTCCTCCTTCCCTACCCAGATGCTTTTCATCTGGGCACCCCTTCCTCCTCTAGACTTCATCACCCCCCAAGTGACCCTCCCTCCTGGTTATCCCTTCCCCCTCCTGGACACCCCTCCCCCTCCTGAACGACCTTCCCCACTTGGAATTCAGCCCTGTCCCCTCATGGTCCTTGTGTCTCCTTCCTGTCCCTGATATATGTCTATAGCCCCCCTTAGTCCAAGCAGAGGACAGCCCCCACCCTGTTTCCAGCTGTGGAAGCCTCAGAACCATCAGGCCGGGGGCCACCTCCACACTCTTGCTCACCCCACTCCTCCATCTCTGCCCCCACCCAGGAAGTGGTGGTGAGCCTCCACAGGGTGTGGGCAGCAGCGGGGTGCTGGTCTCTGACTTCTCTGTGCCCCCTCTTCCCCCTCTGCAGGCGGAGTACAGACTGTGCAATGGATCTGACAGGGAGAGTGTGTCCCCCACAGCCAAGGTCACCAAGAAGGAAACGCTCAAGGTGTGGATGCCTGGGGAGGGGACACCTGGGCCGGTGAGCCCCCCTTTCCTCCTCTCCCACCCACCCCTTCCCTGGGTTGGGAGCTTCTCTTCCCAGTGGTACGGGGCGCTGGTCCCAGCCCTGAGGTGCTGAGCAGGCATGGGATGGGCTGGGGGCTCCTCTTCCTGAGGGTGGCTGGCAGGGGCTGGTCTGTCCAGAGCCCCTTTGACCTTGTGGTGGCCGCAGGCCCAGAAGGAGAACTACCGTCAGGAGAAGAAGCGGGCCACAAGGCAGCTGTTCAGTGCGCTGACAGACCCCAGCGTGGTCATCATGGCGGACAGCCTGAAGGTGCGAGCAGGGGGCGCTGGGGAAGTGCACACAGGCACCAGTGGGACCCCCACACCACGGGCCCTCCACCACGGGTGTCACTGCACTCTGCCTGGGCAGCTACACCCCATCCAGCGGGACCCCCACACCAAGGGCCCTGCCCCACGGGTGTCACTGCACTCTGCCTGGCCATCTGCAACCCTGTTCAGTGGGACCCCCACACCACGTGCCCAGCCCCATGGGTGTCACTGCAGTCTGCCTGGCCAGCTGCACCCCTGTCCAGTGGGGACCCTCCCAGTGCCCTTGCTGCCCCGTGGAGTCTCCATGGATACCCTGAATGCCCATGGGGCACCTCGTGGGGCACAGAGGGAAGCAGTGAGGGCCCACTCTTGGGCGTAGACCAGGGCTGTGGTCAGGAGACCTCACTCAGCTAGGGTTAATTTGCTTAGACCCTGGCCTCAGTTTCCCCTGGTACAGTGGGGCAGGGAGACCTCTGTGAAGAGCAGAACTCAAGGGCATCTTGATGCTTTGCCCGGTGCAGGTCCCCGGGTATGGGGCATGGAGGGAAGGGCAGCTCCACCCAGCCTCTGTGCCACCTGGACAGACGTACTGGCCCTTCTAGGGGCAGTCCTCCTTCGTCAACTTCCAGTAGCTTCCAGAAACCCTTGCGTTCCCACACCCACTCACTGAGCTGCTCCTGTCAGGACCCTGTGGTGGGGCCAGGTCCCTCCTGCTCAGGTGTGACATCATTAACAGGCAGAAAACAGCCTATTTCTAGTCAGCTGCCAGCCACAGCCCACCTCCTGGGGCACCCTTGGCCCATCTTTGTACCCTCACCCTGACATTGGCTCCCCTCAGTGACACCCTTTGTCCTCCTGGAAGCCCCACTCCTGTTCCCCACCCCAATACTGGCCCTCTCAGTGACATCACCTGCCCATCTGCCAGCCCCACCCCTGCGCCCCCATCTTGATACCAGAGCCCTCAGTGACACCCCTGCCCACCTGCCAGCCCCACCTCTGTGCCCACACCCATCCTGACACCGGCCCCCTCAATTAATGCCCCCTGCCCACCTGGAAGCCCCACCCTGACACCAGCCCCGACACCGGCCCTCTTGGTGACGCCCCCACCCTGCTGGCAGATCCGGGGGACCCTGAAGAGCTGGACGAAGCTGTGGTGTGTGCTGCGGCCGGGCGCGCTGCTTATCTACAAGACGCCATCGGTGGCGCAGTGGGTGGGCACGGTGCTGCTACATTGCTGTCAGCTCATCGAGCGCCCCACCAAGAAGGACGGCTTCTGCTTCAAGCTCTTCCACCCGCTGGACCAGTCCGTGTGGGCTGTGAAGGTGGGCACGGGCCAGGCAGGACACAGTGGAAAGGACAGAGGAGGGTGGGAACAGGGGTTTTGACTTGGCTGAACCAGTCCCTGGAGAGTCCTTGAAGACACTCCTGTGGGCCCAGGACACTGGAGTGGAGATCCAGGCCTGAGCAGAGGAGGAGCCTACAGAGAGGGATCCCTGAACAGAACAGTCTCGTGGGGAAGGGGGAGGGTGGGGGTGGGACCCATCACTCAGCCAGTCCAAGACAGGCGCATCCCCCAGCACAGGGCCACTTTCAATCCCTCTGCACCTTGCATTGTGGCCGAGGGGTCATATGTGTCTGGTGACCCTCCGTGTGGAATGCACATTAGCCCTTAACAGTGGGGGCCTCTGGAAAAGAAGCCCACCCACACACTCCTCCCTCTCCCCACCCCTTGGTCCATGCAGGAAGGGCTGGGCCTGCCTCAGTTTAGCCATCATAGCTGGGGTGTGAATACAGATACAGCCAAGGACCCATACACAGTTCAATCCACAGTTCAGAGAAATGAGTCCCTAAAAAAAAGAAAAAGAAATATTATAAATGTGTCCCAGGGATTGCATGGGATCTGCTGTTGCTAGGTGTCAAGTGGTCTACGTCTCCTAGCGACCCTATGGACAGCTCCGAACCCTGCCTTGTCCTGCTTCCTCCTGTCTCGGCCGTGCCAGGCCCTGCAGCCACTGTGGCAGCCCTCCTCATCGAGTCGTCCTCTCTCACTGACCATCCACCTTTCCCAGCATGCTTTCTCTTCTCCAAGGCCCGGCCCCCCATAACAACCTGCCCCCAGCGTGTGAGGCGGTCTGACCATCCTCGTCTCTGAGGAGCACTCTGGCGGCACTTTCTCCAAGGCCAGTTTGCATGTTCTTTTGGCCGCCCATGGATACTGCACACTCTCCTCCAGCACCACAGTTCAAGGGCGTCAGTTCTTCCCCTGCCATCCTTACTTACGGTGCAGATGCATAAAAAGCAATTGAAGTACTAACATCAGGCACACCCTAGTCTTTACGCTGACATCCATGCTGCCCAGCATTTTGGAGCGGCCCCCACAAGCTGGTGACCCGTGCAACACGCGTTTTGATTTCTTGACTGTGACCGTGGGTGTTGATTGTGGAGCCAAGAAAAATTAAATCAGCGACAATTTCAGTCTTTTCTCCATCTCCCAGGATCTTACCTTCTAGTCCAGTAAAGGGGATTTTTGTTTTCTGGATGTTGAGATAATAGCCTGTGTTGAAGGCTGTAGTCTTTGATACTTAGACTGAAGAAAGCATTCATTATTTCTCTGAAATTCCAAGTTGACTGGGCCACTGGGACTTGTACTTCCTGTGGCTACCATGCAGGGAACTCAGAGCTGGGGGGCCGAGGACACAGCCACCTCTCAGGGCTCCCTTGCCCCTTCTGTCACGTGTGTGGCTGGATGCTCGGTCCCTACCAAGGTGTCCAGGTGTGGGTCTGCAGTACTGTGTGGCCTGTGTGATCTCCTATCCTGGGGTCTCCACACATGATGCGCATCTCTCCCTCTGCAGGGCCCCAAAGGTGAGACTGTGGGCTCCATCACACAGCCCCTCCCCAGCAGCTACCTGATCTTCAGGGCTGCCTCTGAGTCAGACGGTGAGTCACCCCTGAGCCCCTGAAGTGGAATGGGCCCTCGAGAGTGTAGACCTGGGTGTCTGGGGCCTGGTTCCAAGAAGCAGAGGATGCTGTGGGCCCTGCCCTCCCACCACCACTCACAGAGGCAGCCTGAGGCCACAGGACAGGCAGACCTGCTACTCTCTGGCCCACCTCACTGAGCTGCAGTTTCCCCATGAGTAAAATACCAGTGACTGGGGCCCCTCTCTCCCCAAGGCTAAAGGCACTCTGGTGGCACAGTGTTCAAAGTGCTCTGATGCTACCAGGAGGTGTGGTTAAATCGTGAGGGAAGAATTTCCCATCTTTCTCCCTCAGAGCCGCTCATGAATTAAAACAGCCAGGGAGAAGCAGCCTCAGGGTTAGCAACCCAGGTAGTCACTGACCAGCTCCCAGAGCTGCAACAAGGTTACAGCAGCGGCAACAATGTTACTGAAATTGTAGTCCTGCCTTGGTTGTTACAGTGCCTTCTGGTGGCTGCTCTGAGTAATGCAGCTGTTCCCCTTTCTCAGAGTCCTGGGAAGCAGGGGAGGGCTCACGCTGGCCAGCGGTCCAAACAGGCAGGTTTCTGTGAGATGCACTTGACCTTGACTTCTGAGGGGCTCTGACCCTAGAGGCTAGGGCGCTTTGGACTGGCCTTTTCTCCTGCTGCTGTACACTGCGCCCTGGTGGTCAGGCGTGGCATTGCGTTCTGTTCGGCACTGGCTGTCCCTATGTCCTTTCTGTTCTAGGGTCATTTGCCCAGCCCCCTCCTCTGTTCCAGGCCCCCTGTGGGCCTGTAGTGGACAGGCCAGACCATGCCTTCATGGAGCCTGTGGTATGAGTGTGAAGATGAGCAGGGAGGTACCTGACAGGGCAGCTGGAGAGGAAAAACCAGCTGAGTCCCTGATTGGAGGAGGGAGGGATCATGGAGGAAGGCACCCACAGCCCCCATGTATAGTAGGGTGGGCTTCCTGGAGAAGGTGACCGTAACCTTGGGATGGGTTTCAGAGGATGTGTAGTGTTCAGAAGCTACATCCTTCCCATCCTGGCCCCCAGGAATATTGGGGATCAGTCTGCTTTAACCTCAAGCCCAGCCCACAGCAATAACCAGAGTGGGCCCCAGATGCTCTGGGGGAATCAGAGCAACCTGGTGTCCAGGACCCTGGGGTTCCCTCACCCTGTCCATCCCCCCACATGCCATTTGAACACTGGCCTCCAAAGGAGTAGGGGTCCTTGGACTTAAAAGTTGAGTAGAGAGATACCTCTCCAAGATGTCACAGTCCAGACTCAGAATCAGGTACCGTCAGCATTCCCCAGCCTGGTGTCGTACGGAAGGCAACCTAGGAATCCTTCCCTGAATGACTCAATTGTTCCACCTCGTTAAGTCCTCAGTGTTGGAACTGACTTTCTCCCTCGAGCTGCTGGTAGATTCGAACCACCAGAGCTGCTAGACCTTTGGGCTGGCTGCACAGATCCCTGGGGACTGCACAACCAGAGCAACCTTCTCGGACCGGCATGGACCTGGGTTTGGACACATTCATTGTCTAAATCAAGATTCTAGGGGGAAGGGGCTGTTGGTAGTCACAGCAGGAGGTCTGGAGGAGGCTGGGTGGGACCCAGGGCAGTTGACATTGGGACACTCAGTGGTCCCTGGCCTGGGGACAAGGGCAGGGCCCTGAGCTGCCTCAACTCTCTAGCTGGAGATCACTCTCCACTCAGGGTCAGCAGGAGGGCGCAGGGCTCTGCCAGCACTTAGCCTTGCTCTTGTCGGGCAGTCCTCCGCTCTCTGCCTCCCCACAGGCAGGAGGCAGGCAACACTGTGCGCATCTGCGGGGCCACCTGGATGCGTGACCTTGAGCTGCTCAGCTGCCCTGCTGGGCCCTGGCCCTCACTAGTGCTCTGACTATTCTTTGAAACCCCTCTGCTGGGTAATTCTTCCAGTGACACACTCTGCCCACCCTGCACACGTGCACACACACACACACACTGTGCACACACACATCACACACCAACCATACCCCCCACACACAAACTACACATACACACCACACACACACCACAGACACACCCCTCACACACATACCACACACACACCACACACACACACACCACATACACCCACCCCACATACACCACACACACATACCACACACACACACAACCCCACACACACACACTCTACACACACCATACCCCACACACACACACCACATACACCCACCCCACACACCACACAACCACACACACACACCCTACACACACCACACACACACACCACATACACCCACCCCACACACACCACACACACACACACAACCACACACACACACCCTACACACACCACACACACACACCACATACACCCACCCCACACACACACACACATCAAACACACACCACACACACACACACACAGCCTCATTCAGAATTCCTGGTTTCTGAGCTGGGAGGTCTCCTGTGGGGGTGAGGTTGAGGGTGCTCCCAGTTGGGGAGGGACAGAAGCCAAGAAGGGGACAGGTGCCCTGCTGGGGTTGTTCCATGAGTGGCCTGAAGTCTCACTGGCTCTGTCCCCAGGCCGCTGCTGGCTGGATGCCCTGGAGCTGGCCGTGCGCTGCTCCAGCCTCCTGCGGCTCAGTGCCTGCAGGCAGGGCTCCGATGGAGAGCCGGGGTCCTCGCCGGACACGTACCCCTCTTCGCTGTACAGACTGCCCGGCTCGGCTGATGTCCATGCTGACCAGGACCTGTTCCCGTGAGCACCGGGCGGGGGGGGGGGGAACCTGGCCGTCACTGAGTAGGGGGGTCTCTGTTCATGTGGTGGGGAGTGTGCCTCAGAGCCCCGGTTGGCTCCCAAACCTCCCAGCAGGGGCACAGTACCTTCTCCGTCCACCGCCATGGGCCCTGACCACTCCGTTCTTGTTCCTCCATCTGTGAAATGGGCTTCCATCTTGGGCTGCAGATGGTGTGAGGCCCCTAGCAGTGCGGGCTGGCTGGGTGTGCATGGCCTTGCCCAGATCCATGGACAGACACCTCCTCCCCATTGGCCATCTGTCTGTCTTCTAGACTGAATGGGCCGTCACTGGCTAACCACCTGGAGAATGACGCCTTTTCAGACAAGTCAGAGAAGGACAACGCCGAAGAGTCAGACGACGAGACACAGGACCACAGCCGCAAGACCCCAGAGAGTGGCAGTGACCGCTCAGAGCCACAGGGCAGCCCGGTGCGGAGGGGGACCACGTACATGGAGCAGACCTCCGAGGAACTGGGGGAGGTGAGAGCTAGGTGCCCCATCAAGTCAGAAGGACTGAAAGGGGGTCTGCAGGGCCTGTGCCAGGGCCTTTCCCACACTGTGGGTGCCCGTGTGAGCACACCCTTTCACCCCCTGGATAGCAGTGCCGGCTCCCTAAACACAGGCAGCTCCATGGCGGGGTGATGTGCCGCCGTGGGAGAGGACGGGCCTGGAGATAACCATTGGCCTCTGGGGAGGGCAGCGGGCAGTGCGGGCTGCGGAGCCAGCCGAGGCTGGGACTCTGTGACCTTCACAGCTACACTCCCGGCGCCCAGGGAGACAGATGGAGTTCTGGTCCCCCGAGAAGCACACATGCAGACACGCAGGACACTGGAAGACACACTGGACGTTAGGAGGCATGTAGGATACTGGGGGACATGCTGGACATTAGGAGGCATGCAGGACACTGGGGGACATGCTGGACATTAGGAGGCATGCTGGACACGGGAAGACACGGTGGACACTAGGAGAAATGCAGAACATTGAGAGACACGCTGGACACAGGGAGACACGCCGGACACTGAGAGACACACAGGACACTGGAAGGCATGCTGGACATGGGGAGACATGCTGGACACAGAGACACACAGGACACTGGGAGGCATGCTGGACTTTGGGAGACACACTGGATGCTGGCAGACACGCTGTACACTGGGAGACATGCTGGACATAGGGAGACACTCGGGACATTTGAGGGCTCCTCCTGTGACTCAAAGGTGGGAGAGTCTTCTCAAGCTGAGGGGGGGACTCAGGTCCCCCAGGTAAGGGCATGGTGTGTGCAAGGCAGAGGTCACAGGAAAGACTGGATGACGTCTGAGGTGTGTGCCTGGCAGGGTGGGTTCTCTTTGCCCCCCCCCACCTCTGCCTGACACAGTGAGAAGAGAAAGGCTGGAGGTGTGTGCCCAGGAGAGGGTGTTGAGTACGATGCCCCCCTGACCATCTGAGGAGAGGCTCCAAGAGGTGGTGCCTGGAGGAGTACAATTGCCCCCCAGTCCTGAGGAAGGGTGCCCACTGTTGGGGCGTACATCCTGACGCCCCTTTGCCACAGCTCGGCGAGGCGTCCCAAGTGGAGACAGTGTCTGAGGAGAACCGCAGTCTGATGTGGGTGCTGCTGCGGCAGCTGCGGCCGGGCATGGACCTGTCCCGCGTGGTGCTGCCCACGTTCGTGCTGGAGCCCCGCTCCTTCCTCAGCAAGCTGTCTGACCACTACTACCATGCCGACCTGCTCTCCAGGTGAGCGGGGAAGGGGGCATCATGTCCCCGTGTGCCCACCTGCTCTCCAGGTGAGTGCTCAGGGTGGGGGCACCATGCCCCATGTGCCCAGCCCACCCTGCTGAGTGGGTGGAAGCCTGAGTGTGCCCTGGCCTGCCTCCCTGAGGTGCCCTGAAACCCCGTGTCACTGGGCCAGACAGAGCCTTTGGCACGCCGGCCCCAGAGCAGAGCAGAGTTTGACACACGTCCTGGGCCCTGCCCTGTGGCCCAGCCAGGCTGCCTGGCACCTCACATCGGCACTACACATTCAGCACCATCTGGGGCGGCTACAGGGGACAAGGGACCACACACTCTGCACTGACCCGGGACAGGGGAGCACCACTCAGTGCTGGCTGGGGGCTTGGGAGGGTGGGTGCACCTGAGGACTTCATGGGTGAGCAAAGGGCAGACCCCCACCAGGTTCCCTACTGAGGACACTGGACAGGTAGCCTCGGCCTTATTTGTGTCAGGACTTGTGTGTGGAAGGTTGGGTGGAGGTCAGGACGCCACATGGACTCAAGGGCTCCCCCTGCCCCTCTTCACAGGGCCGCACTGGAGGAAACCGCCTACAGCCGCTTCAAGCACGTGTTGCGCTGGTACCTGTCTGGTTTCTACAAGAAGCCCAAGGTGAGGAGGTTACCGCTCAGCACCCTCTTCCTGTACCCCACATGGGGACCTCAGATGGGGCAGGGCCCTAACTTCCACAGAGCAGACCCCAGCTCTATCCCCAGACAAAGGAACCAGGAAATGGGGAAACTTGGTCAAACTGTGAGACACCATGTTTGAGGATGGCTTTGGGATTTGTGAGGGCTGTTGAGTGAGGGACCCCAGCTTAGAGCCCCAAACCAGGCCTCTGAGAAGCCAGACCTGCGGGGAGGGTACTACAGCTCTACTCCTGCCCTGGCAGCCCCAGCAGAGTCCTGGGCTTCCCTGGAACCCTAGCGACTTGGAAACCACAGTTGTGTCTTCGCCTCTTCAGCAGGCACATGGGGAAAACAGGTTCAGGAAGGGGCAGGTGTCATCAAAGTCAGACAGCAGTCTGGGGCAGATCTGGAGACACACCTGCACAGGGGAGCCCCCCTCGCTGGGCAGCCAGGTGTGTGGTGTGCAGGTGTGTAACCACACAGGTGATGTCAGGCAGGGGGAGCTCGGGGACTGGATGTCAGCAGGCAGAACACGGTGAGGTCCCAGGGCTTGTCTCAGAGCAGGTGAGGGAACAGCAGGAAGCAATAGACTCAGGGCTGGGGGGGCTGGATGTGGATAAGTGCTGTTACAGGTGAGGGCACGGACAGCGTCAGGCAGCACAATGCACAGAGCTATTGAATGGAAAACCAACTTGCTTGGTGAACTTTCACTCAAATCACGTTTAAAAACAATTTTAAAAATTTAAAAGACATATCGATGAAATAGAATTGATAGGTAGCCCAGAAATCAGCTCATCTGTCTATGGTCAACCAGTTTTTGACAAGAAGACAAAATCAGTTAAGTGGGGAAATAACAGTCTTTTTAACAAATGGTGTTGGCAGAATTGGAAAACTATCTGTAGAAAACTCATATAAGACCCACACCTCACCATATTCAAAAACCAACTCAGGGAGGATCAAGGACCTAGGAGTAAAACCAGGGACTATCAGCTTCACCACAGAAAAGCGAGGAGCAGCTCCAGAAGGCCTAATCCACATTAACAGTCTCCTAAGTATAATGAAAACCTACAACCAGGAGAGAATAAAATAGATGAATGGGACCTTCTAAGAATCAAATCCCTGTGTACATCTCAAAAGTTCTCCAGCAGGGTAAGAAGGAAAGACACAGACTTGGAAAAATATCTAGCAATGACGTATCTGATAAGGGACTCATACCTAAAATTTATAGAATACTTAAGCACTTCAACAAGATAAAGGTAACAACCCAATCACAAAATAGGCACAAGATATTAACAGACACTTCACCAAAGAATTCAGATGGTGAACAAACACACAAAGAAATGTTCAAAATCCCTAACTGTTGTTGTTGTTATGTGCCGTCAAGTCTCTTGTGACTCATAGCGACCCTATGTACAAGAGCCCTAAATGCCATTCTATCCTGTGCCAACCTCACCGTCTCAAACACACATTCCCACCACTCCACTCACAGAGTCTATCCATCTCATCGAAGGTCTTCCTCTCCTGCGCTGTCCCTCCACTCTCCCAAACATGATGTCTCTCTCCAAGGACCAGTCCCTCCTTGCAACATGCCCAAAGTATGTCAGACGAAGCTTCAGAATTCTTGACTCCAAGGAGCATTCCGGCTTCACCCTCTCCAGGACAAACCTGTTTGTTCTCCTAGCATTCTATAGTATATTCAACATTCTCCTCCAGAACCACAGTTCAAAGGCATCAATTCTCTTTCTATCATCCCTATTCACTGTCCAACTCTCTGATGCATAGCGCGTAATTGTGAAGGCTATAGCCTGGATCAGGCGCACCTTAGTCTCCAGCCTGATGTCGTTGTTCCTCAGTACTCTTGAAAGGTCACTCACAGCTGACTTTCCAAATGCAATTGATGCAAATAAAAACAACGATGAGATATCATCTCACCCTAGCAACAATAGCAAAGTTCAACAGAGCCGCAAACAGCAAATGCTGGTGAGGTTGTGGAGAAATTGGAACCCTTATTCACCACTAGGGGGAGTGTAAACTGGTAAACCAGTATGGAAGGTGGTCGGTCTGGCACTTTCTTAAAAAGTTGGAAATAGAAATACCACTTGGCCCCACAATTGCACTGCCAGGAATATATCCTAAAGAAAACAGAGCCATGACCCAAACAGATGTATGCACACCCATGTTTCCTGCTGCTTCATCCACACTAGCAAAGAGATGGGAGCAACCCAAGTGCCCATTAACAAATGAGTGGATAGAAAAACCATGGTATGTTCACATAATGGAATACTACACAGCACTGAAAAAACAAGGAACTCATAGAACATTACACAACATAGGGAAGCCTGGAGGACATTATACTGAGTTAAAAAAAGGACAAATACTGCGTAACGCCACTGTTATAGAACGGAAAGCTGGGGAGTTTGGAGGAGACCAGGAAGGTAGATAGATACGAAACACTGCATTGGAACAGACAAGGGAGAGAACTGTTTAAAAGAGAGATATTTAGACATTATGTGTGATAACAGTCTGGAATAAGAGGTGCATAGCAAAGGGGCTGGAGAGGGAGGAGAGGAGGAGGGAGGAAATTGTGCAACAATTAATGAATGTTTTTAAAAAGAAAGTAAACTGGGAGAGGGAGGAACAATGAATGACTTAAAATCCAGCTTTTCTGTACTTTCATTAAAATCACAACTTAAAGAAAAAAAGGAGTTTACATATGTTTTGAAAAGCAGGTGGTGGTGTCAGATGCCCAGCCCTGTCCTAACCCACCCTGCTGACCGGTCAGCTCATGGACTCTCTGTCTCTTGTCCGCAGGGGATCAAGAAGCCCTACAACCCCGTGCTCGGGGAGACCTTCCGCTGCCGCTGGTTCCACCCCCAGACAGACAGCCACACCTTCTACATCGCCGAGCAGGTGAGACCCCACCCCCGGCACTGCTGCCCACAGGGGACACTCACAGGACACAGGGCTGTGATGACAGAGAGGGCGTCCATAGGGAGGGTGGGACAGGATGCCGCTATCCAGTCTGAGCCACCACCTGGAGCCCACGTGTGGTCAACTGTGGCCTCACTTCACGGGGTTCCCAAGGGCAGGTTGCCACGCCTTTCTGCCAAGGTGCCTGAGGGTAGACGTGAACCTTCAGCCTTTGCTAGCCACTGAGCGTGCTCTCTGTCTGCTGCCCTTGGGGGATCCTTGGAGGAAGAGGGCAGTGCACCCCGTGTCCTGAGTGCACCCTGAGGTGGAGTGGGAATCGTGGCTGCTCCAGGTGCCAGCGCTCAGGTGTGGTCCCTGCGCTCAGTGAGCAAGCTCTGGGCCTGAATGGGGCCGGAGGGCAGGAAGGCTGGGCTCTCACCTCGGCGGTCACCCTCTGCACCCTACCAGGTTTCCCACCACCCACCCGTGTCCGCCTTCCACATCAGCAACCGCAAGGACGGCTTCTGTATCAGTGGCAGTATCACGGCCAAGTCCAAGTTCTATGGTGAGGGACTGGGAGGGGCCACGGAACAAGCAGATGGTGGGAGTGCTCATAACCTGGGGTTGGGCAGAACCAGGGCCCATACAGAGCCTGGGGTCGGGCAGAGTCTATTACAACTCACAGGACAGGGAAGAACTTCCCCAAAGGGGGGGGTCTATAGCTGTAATCTTTAGAGAAGACCAACATATTTTCGTCTGTAAAGCAGTTGGTGGGTTTGAAACAATGACCTTTCAACAGATATGCACTTATAGATAGGAGTGTGTAAAAAATTAAAATTAAAGCAGGAGGTCAAGTTAGTTTGAAAAGTCCCTTAAGGACACCATCCTCCACTCAGAGAAACTTCGATTTATTCATTGAAGTAAAATGTGAATACACCGCAAGTTAAACAATCCCTCAGGACAGATGGCCATGAGAACTGGGCAGGACGAAGCCAGGAGATGCACCCACAGCCACACAGCTGGGGTGCTGGCCCCTCTAGACTTTCTGAAGGGGAGCTCAGAGCTGATGTTTGTGAAGTGTGGCCCAGGTCCTGAGGGCCATTGTCCACTCACTGTCCCTCTGCTCCCATCTTCTGCAGGGAACTCACTGTCAGCACTGCTGGAGGGCCAAGCCACGCTCACCTTTCTGAACAGAGAGGAGAAGTACACCATCACCATGCCGTACGCGCACTGCAAAGGTGAGAGTCTGGGCTGGACTGACTGACCTGGAACCGAGCCCAAGCCCCAACCGTCGGAGAGGTTCCTGGGCCCAGACTCTGCTGGTTTGGGTGTGCTTGGGGAGCTTTATTTCACTCACCTGCTCTTCAGTGGTGTGTTACCTGGGCGTGAAATTCTGGGAAGACTGACATCTATTCTTCCTTTGTTAACAACCTTTTATCATCGCCTGCTGGCGGCTTTTGTGACAAGTGAGAAGTTGTCTGCCTGCTTTTCTCAGAGCCGCTCTGGGCATCTTACAGCTGTTGTTCTGCAGCTTCAGTCTTGTGTATTATAGGTTGGATCTCTCTCTCTCTCTCTCTCTCTCTCCTTTTAAAATTTTTTAATCTGAAATTTCATGAGTTTGTTCAAGCCTGGAGAAGATAATTAAGAGTGTTAGTATTATTCTCTACTGATGAGATTCTAGTAAAATCTATTTAGAAACCAAAACTAAGCCCCTTGCCATCAAATCACTTCTTACTCATGATGACACCCCCCCCCATCAGGTTCCAATGTTGTAAGTCTTTATGGGGGGAGACAGCCTCATCTTCCTCCATTGGAGCAGATGGTGGATTTGAACTGCTGACCTGATATGTTGTACACTGCGCCACCAGAGCTCCTCTATTATATTGCACAAAATATGTCATTTTAATGTCAAAAGAATTGCTACCTTTGAGCTGTGGTGTTGGAGAAGGGGACTGAATATCCCAAGAACTGCCAAAAGAGCATATACTGTAGAGAAAGTGCAGCCAGGGTGCTCCTTGGAGACAAAGATGATAAAGCTTTGTTTCACATACTATGGACAAGTTGCTAGGAAAGGCTATTCCATGGAGAGGAAGACCATCAACCAGGTGGATTGAAACAGTGTCAAACACAATCAAACCTGCAGCAACAGGTTTGATTGTGTCAGAGATTGTGAGGACGGCACAGGACAGGAGAAGGTTCAGATTTGTGGTTCACAGGGTCACAATGAGTTGTACTCAACCTGATGGCACCTAACAACAACAACAACGACGACAAAGGTACCATCAGGAGCACGTTGACCGTCCTTCATTAAAGATGTGTTTGTTCTTTTTATAGTCCATGACAGAGACAGTACTCTTCACTAATTTGGAGGCATCAAACCTTCTGTCTTCCTGATTTGTCCAATTATTGTGGGTTTGATTTGCATCTCTCTTATTACCAGAGGTGTGGAGCATTTCTTCATGTGTCTGTTGGACATCCAAATGTCTTCCTCGGTGAAAAATCTTTCCATGTCTTTTGCCCATTTTGTAATTGGGTTATCAGTCTTTTTCTCCTAGAGGCCCGGGAGTATTCTGTAAACTTTTATTATGAGATTCTTATCTGAGATAATGTTGCCAAATGTTTTTTTTTCCCAGTCTGTAGGTTTTCTTTTCACCCTCTTGGAAAAATTTTTCAGTAAGCACAGAGATTTAATCTTTAGAAAGCCCCATCCATCAATTTTATCCTCTCCTAGGCCTTCTAAGCTTGGTTCCAGTTTGTCTCTTATGAAGCTTATGGTTTTGGGCTTTGAGTTGGTTTTTGTGTATGGTGTGAGATGTGGATCCTGATTCAGCTTTCTGCAGGTAGCAGTCCATTCTTGCCAGCATCATTTTTATTGAAGAGGTTGTCATTTCACCATTTGGTAGGTTTTCTTTTCTTACTGAATATCAGTGGACTATAGATAGATGTTGGAAGGAGGAGTGGCATCCACTTCCATAATAGCTTCCCTTCAGAAACCCTATGAACCTGGAGAGAGGATGAAAGGCACCCAAGCGTCGAGGACTCTCCTTCATAGGGTCGCTATGAGTTGCCTGCAACTTGACAGCACTTAACAACAACATAGATAGATGAGTCTATTTCTGGGTTCTCAATTTGGTTCCATTGGAATAAGTACCTGTCATTGTATCAGTACCATGCTGCTTTGGTTACTACTGCTGTGTAGTAGGTTTTGAGGTAGGGAGTGCTACACCTCCCACTTCATTTATTTTTTTCAGAAATGCTTTGCTTATTAGGGGTCCCTTTTCTCTCCAAATAATCTTGACAATTTCCCTTTCAGGCCCCTTGAAAAATTAATTTGGTATCTGAATTGGGATTGCATTGAACATGTAGATTGTTTTGGGTAGGATTGTCATTTTCACAATATTGAGTTTTCCTATCCCATGAACAGGGAACATTTTCCATTTATATTTAGGTCTTTTATTGTGTTTTGAAGAAATGTTCTGTAGTTGTATTTGTGCAGGTCTTTTGTGTCTCTAGTTAGGTTTATTCCCAAGTATCTCGATTTGTGGTTGACTATTGTAAATGGTATCGCTTTCTTGGTTTCCTTCTCTGAGTTCTCTTTGTTACTGTTGAGAAAACCCACTGACTTGTATATTGATCTTATATCCTGCCACCCTACAAAATTGGTCTACTAGCTCTAAGAATATTTTTGTTGAGTCTTTGTGCTTTTCCATATACACTATCATATTATCTGCAAATTTGTTGTTGTTGGGTACCAGCGGGTTGAATACCACTCATTGTGACCCTATGAACAAAAGATCTGAACCCTGTTCTACCCTGAGCCATCCTCACACTTCCTGACGCACAAGAGTCCATCATAGTAGTCTTCATGTCAGTCACCTGTTTGATGGTCTTCCTCTCCTGCGTCAACCTTCCACCCTTCCCAGTATCATTCCACTTTCCAAGGAATAGCCCCTTCTAGCAACATGCCCAAATTATGTGAGGTGAAGCCTCATCATTCTTGCCTCCAAAGAACACTCCGGCTACACCCTCTCCAAGACATATCTGTTTGTTCTCTTAGCCGTCTGTGGGGTGTTCAGTGCTCTTCTCCAGCACCACAGCTCAAAGGCATCAGTTCTTTTTCTGTCATCCTCATTCATTGTCCAGCTCTCAGATGCATAGTAAGTAATTGGAAAGACAAAAAAAGGCCTAAATTAGACACAACTTGCTCCTCAAACTGACATCATTATTCCTTAATATTTTGAAGAGGTCCCTAACTGCAGATTTTCCCAGTACAATATGTCTTCTCATTTCTTGACTATTGGTACCAAGCATATTAATTGCTCCTACGTATAGAGCCAAAGAAGAAATAATCTGCTTATAGTGACAGTTTAACCATATATCTTTGCTAATCGGGGTGCCTTTTCTTTCCTTCTCTTATCGTATTGCCCTAGCAAGCACTTCCAATACAATACTGAATAGAAGTGGTGACAGTGGGCCACCTTGTCTGCTTCCCATTCAAAAGGAAAATGCTTTTAGTCTTTCTCCATTGAGAATTATGTTGAGTTTTGGTTTTGCATATATACTTGGCTCCACAGTCAACACTCTTGGCACCAGCAGCCAGGAAATTAAAAGACATACTGCGATGGGAAAGTCTGCTGTTAGGGACCTCTCTAAAGTACTGAAGAGCAATGGTGTCTCTCTGGAGACTAAGGTGCATCTGATACAGGCCATGGTCTTTGCAATCACTTGTTTTGCGTCAGAGAGCTGGACAATGACCAGGGAGGATAGAAGGAGAATTGATGCCTTTGAGCTTTGGTGTTGGAGAAGAGTTTCGAGGGTACCATGGACTGCTAAGAAAACAAACAGATTCATCCTGGAGAGGGCTAAACCAGTCTGCTCCTTGGAGGCAAGGATTTTGAGGCTTCGTCTGACATACTTTGGTCATGTTGTAAGGAGAGACCGGTCCTTGGAGAAGGATATCGTGCTTGGGAGGGTGGAGGGCAGGCGCAGGAGGGGAAGGCCCTCTATGAGGTGGATTGATTCAGTGGCTGGGGTAATCAGGATGAGTGTGTCGGAGACAATGAGATTTTCACAGAACAGAGCAGGGTTTAGGGCTGTTGTACATAGGGTCGCTATGAGTCGCAAGCGACTCGACAGCACTTAACAACAACAACTTTTTACCATATTGAAGAAAGTCCCTTCTATTCCTATTTTGCTGAGTGGCTTAATCAGGAAGAGGTATTAGATTTTGTCAAATGCCTTTTCTGCATCAATTGCTAGGATCATATGGTTCTTGTTACTTCCTTTATTACTGTAGTGAATGACATTGATTTTTTTTCTTATGTTGAACCATCCTTGCATACCTGTTTTGAATCCCACTTGCCAAGATGAATTATATTTTTGTTGTGCTTTTAGATTCTATTGGCTAGGATTTTGTTAGGAATTTTTGCATTAATGTTCATGGGAGATAATTTATCTGTAGTTTTCATTTTTTGCAATTTCTTTACCTGGTTTTGGCATTAGGGTTGTATTTGCTTCATAGAATGTCTCTGGGAGTGTACCTTCTTTTTCTATTTTTTTTAAAATAATTTGTGTAGAATTGGTGATAAATATTCTCTGAATGTTTGGTATAATTCGGGATTTGTGGCGGTTACGGGCCAGAGGATTCTTTTTACAACCTATTCACTTGCAGCCATGGTCCAGGGAATTTTTCAGACAAAAGCCGTGGGTCAGTTAACATTTGTGCGCAGGTTCATGGAACCCTCACTGCTCAAGCTGCCATCTTTCGATCCTTGAAACAGTCTTTAATTATTACCTTGGTTTCTTCCAAATATGTTGACCAACTCTTTTTGGTATAATGACTTTTTAGTCTTTTTTTTTTTTTTGGCGGGGGGGTTGATCCTTTTTATGTCAGTAATATTTTACTAGTAGAATCCTTCAGTTTTGAGGTTTGGGGCTTGAATTTTGTTTTTCTTCAGTTCTTCCAGCTCAAGCAGTCCTTGCATGTGCTTCTCTTTTGGTTTCTAACTCCAGGTCTTTGCACATTTCATCACAACACCTTGCCTTGTCCTCCGACATGTGCTGAAATTTTCCATTCAGCTCTCTTACTTCAATATTTTTCCTTTGGCTTTAGCTTTTCTCTGTCCTAGAACAAGTTTCAGAGCAGAACCTCATCAGACATTAATTTTTATCTTTTCTTTCTTTTCTACTTTACTCTCTTCGTGTATGAAGACTTAGGTTAAACCATCTCATTAATTTC